TACCAGCTGCCGAGTCACACTTTTTCATCTGCAGGAGTGATTCACAGCAGAGAGACGTTGTCATAGACTGACTTCATTCCTTCAGACAGCATTTCTCAAACACTTATCCGCAGCTGTACTCCAGGGACGCCTCGAGTTACCAAATCTGAAAAGCAATGATGGGCATGCATGTTTCAAAGCCACTTTTTCACAGGGCTTGAGGGCAAGAAGATGGAAAGAAAACCTTTAAAACACATGTTTTTTTTTTTGTTTTTTTTTGTTTTAATTCTAAGAGATAAGGTCTCTGTCGCCTAGGCTGGAATGCAGCGGCACAATCATAGCTCACTGCAGCCTCAACCTCTTGGTCTCAAATGATCCTCCTGCCTCATCAGCCTCCTGAGTAGTTGGGATTATAGGCACATGCCACTATGCCTGACTACTTTACATTTTTTTTGTAGAGACAGGATTTCACTATTGTTGGCCAGGCTGGTCTCAAACTCCTGGCCTCAAGCAATCCTCCCACCTCAGCCTCTCAAAGCCCTGGGATTACAAGTATGAGCCACTGCATCAAGAGAGAAACTTTTTATGTTTCCTGAATTCCTCCTAGAAGCCATGCTGGCCACCAGCCCCCACGACTGCCGTCAGACATTCAACCTGTCTCCCCACCAGCACAGGAGCTTCTCAGGAGGAGCGGCCAGCCTGGCCAGATGCAGAGTGGGCCTCCAGGAGTGTTTGTTAAGTAGATCTCCACTGATGTGGTCCAAAACACAGACTCTAGAGCTGGACTGGCTGGGTTCGTAACCACCGTAGTACCACTCACTATGAATCTGAGCAAATCTCTAAGAAGTTTTCTGTTTTCTCATTTATAAAATGATGATAATAATGGTACCTACCTTTATATAATGGTTTTGTGAGGATTAAAGAAGATAAATTGTGTAGCATACTTAGAAATAATGCCTAGCACACAATCCATGCTATATGTTTTAGCTGCTATCGTCATCATCATCATTATCATCATCTCGTGGGTTTCAGTTTATGTGGATTGAAAAGATTCATTCATTCACTCCATAATAATAGACAGCTTGTGTGGTGGGAGCTGGGGACATAGCAGTGAACAGGACTGGCATAGGTCCGAGTCTAGGAGCATAAAGCAAGATGGCAACAGATGCTATAAGGGAAAGACACCCAGTACTTTGGGAGGTCGAGGTGGGAGGATCACTTGAGGCCAGGAGGTCGAGACCAGCCTGGGTAACATAGTGAGACTCCATCTCTACAAAAAAAAAATACAAAAATTAGCTGGGCATGGTGACATGTGCCTGTAGTCCCAGCTACTTGGGAGGCTGAGGCCAGGGGATTGCTTAAGACCAGGAGTTTGAGGCTGCAGTGAGTTATGACTGCGCCACTTGTACTCCAGCCTAGGTGATGGAATGAGACCTTGTCTTAAAAAAAAAAAAAAAAAAAGAGGCCGGGCGCGGTGGCTCACGCCTGTAATCCCAGCACTTTGGGAGGCCAAGGCGGGCGGATCACAAGGTCAGGAGATCGAGACCACGGTGAAACCCCGTTTCTACTAAAAATACAAAAAATTAGCCGGGCGCGGTGGCGGGCGCCTGTAGTCCCAGCTACTCAGGAGGCTGAGGCAGGAGAATGGCGTGAACCCGGGAGGCGGAGCTTGCAGTGAGCCGAGATTGCGCCACTGCACTCCAGCCTGGGCGACAAAGCGAGACTCTGTCTCAAAAAAAAAAAAAAAAAAAAAAAAGAAAGAAAAGAAAAAAAGGAAATAAATCTGGGAGAGAGCAATGAACTAGAGGGGGCCATGTTAGAGATGGCTGAGAAGGGCTCTCCGACAAGGCTTCACTGATAAGAAAGCCAATGGCCAGGCCGGGCGCAGTGGCTCACGCCTGTAATCCCAGCACTTTGGGAGGCCAAGGCGGGTGGATCACGAGGTCAGGAGATCGAGACCATCCTGACTAACATGGCGAAACCCTGTCTTTACTAAAAATACAAAAAATTAGCCAGGCGTGGTGGCGGGCGCCTGTAGTCCCAGCTACTCGGGAGGCTGAGGCAGGAGAATGGTGTGAATCTGGAAGGCAGAGCTTGCAGTGAGCCGAGATTGTGCCACTGCAACTCCAGCCCGGGCGACAGAGCAAGACTCCGTCTCAAAAAAAAAAAAAAAAAAAGAAAGCCATTGGCCACAGCTGCTATTTGTTGGCTGTCTTGTACCTGATGCTTTACACACAAGATCTCCCTTTTTGGGGAGCCTCAGAGACAGGTGACATCAAGGACCTAGACCAATGAAAGCCCTAGCCATGGTGGGGAGCCAGCCAATGAGGACGGCCTGAGCAAGCTGCTTTGCCCGCTGGCTGAGCTGCTTAGGCTGTTGCTGGAGCCCTGGGGTGGTTGCCCAGGGAGTGATTGGCAAGACTGCCCAGCCTCTCCCCAAGAAGGCTCCCAAAGACCCTGCATCTGTGTTGTGGAGTGATGTGTGCCAAGCAAAAAAAACCCATAATTGCAGAGAGGTAGTATCTTGCTGTCAACACAAGGCGAAATCTTACTCCTTGCCTCCCTTGGCTCAAGCAGGAGCCAGGCTGAGGCTTAATGGAACCCACATGTGCGGCAAGGGGGACCTGTGGGCACAGTGTGACAGAGCTGTGACCCAGGCAGCGTGCAAGGGGTCCTGTCTGGGCGGCACAAAGTGAACCATGTCCCAATTCTCCCTGAAGCCCCTCTGGTTTCCTAGCACCCGTAGAATGACAGGCAGACCACTCCAGGTCCCAGGCGCTCCCCTCTGCAGCTTCTTACTCCATGACTCAGCCAAGCACTACACCCCAAACCACCAGGTGTCCCCACCTTGCCTCCCACGCCACAGCGCCTGTGCCCTTCCTCTCACACTGCCCCAAAGCAGGTGCCGGAAGTGTCTGGGAGTGGTGATGCTGGGCTGTATTTCTGCAGATTACACCTACTTCTACAAGGGCCGGGACTACTGGAAGTTTGACAACCAGAAACTGAGCGTGGAGCCAGGCTACCCGCGCAACATCCTGCGTGACTGGATGGGCTGCAACCAGAAAGAGGTGGAGCGGCGGAAGGAACGGCGGCTGCCCCAGGACGATGTGGACATCATGGTGACCATCAACGATGTGCCGGGCTCTGTGAACGCTGTGGCCGTGGTCATCCCCTGTATCCTGTCCCTCTGCATCCTGGTGCTGGTCTACACCATCTTCCAGTTCAAGAACAAGACAGGCCCTCAGCCTGTCACCTACTATAAGCGGCCAGTCCAGGAGTGGGTGTGAGCAGCCCAGAGCCCTCTCTGTCCACTCGGTCTGGCCAGCCAGGCCCTTCCTCACCAGGGTCTGAGGGGCAGCTCTGGCCACTGCTCACCAGGGCCAGCAGGGCCCTAGGCTGGGGTCGTACAGCTGAAGTGGTGGGTGCATTTGGCCTAGGCTGAGCGTGGGGCAGGGAATTATGGGGGCTGTGCCCCAGGGTGGGTGTCTGGCACCCAGCTGCCAGCCTTCTGTCCTGGGCAAACTACTCCCTACTTAAGGGAATAGGCCAGGCTCCATCCGGAGGCAGGGACCATGCCAGGAGGAGCCCCTGTGGTCACAGCATCCTGTGGTGTCCATGAGGTACCACAGCTCCACTCCTGGCTGGAACCCAGCACCCTCTGTGGGAAGCCAGCACTAGCTCTCATCCCCCATCCAGGAGATGCCACCAGTCCTGGTCCCCTTTTGCCAACACCTGCTGGTCAGATGTCCCCCTACCCCCACCCCACTGTCCTCCAAGGCTACAGGACCCCTGCTTCTGACACAGTGGGCAACAAGCCTGGGTTTCCCTGCTGGCAGACAGCAGATCCCTCAGGAAACCTGCTCCACTTGTCAGGGTCTCTTCAGAGACCCAGGATTTAGGGTCACATGCTGCAGGCAGGGCTGTGGCCCGGCTGGGTCTGACAAGGACCCACCTGTCACATCGTGAATATTTAAATGTCCTGTCACTACTGTTTAAAGTCCCATTTTGCAAAGGCTGCTTGAGGCTTTAGGTGAACTAGAGGTGACTGTCTTGGTGATGAGGCCAGCAGAGCGGCCCTCCCCCAGGCGACAAGGACCAAGGTGCTGCTAAGGCCACTCTAGCGCCCAGACACCCCAGTAGCTGAGCCCTGCTCCTATGGCTACAGAGCTGGGGCAGAAGCTGACCCCATTTCTGGAGGCAGATCCGAGTTTGTGACCGTCCTCCACTCCCCTCTATTGTCCCTGTCCCCAGCTTTGCTCCAGCCTGTCACTTGCGGCCTGGGGCTCAGCCTGACTAGTTAGGTGAGACAGAGATGGCTGCAGGGCCAACATGGCAGAGCCTGGGAGTCCTTCGGAAAGGGACGGGGTGTCTGAAGTGCTCAGTGCCTCCACTCCCAGCTACCCCAAGGCCGACTCAATCTCTCGGCTGGAAGCAGTGTTTTCCCAGAGCTTGGCCCTTGCTGACCTTGCTCACTGGGCCCATCTTCCCACACTGCTCTTAGAAGGGCAACCCTACCAGTAGCAGCCCCAAGCCAAGGGGGCTCCCTTTTTGACCTTCACTGGCCCGCCCTTTACTGTCTCTGGCAGGAGTTCCTAGGGCTCGGCCTGCCTTGCTCCAGTACAGCAGAGGCAGCCCTGCTTGTCACTGAGGAGTCCTAGACAAGGCCAATGGGTTCAGTGATGCCCACTGGCTCTCTGCCAAAGCCAAAAAGAGGTGTCAGGCAGTCTCCAGCGTGCTAGCCGGGTCTTGGATGCCACCCCTGCTCACTGAGCCTGCATGGGCCTTGCCCCCGACCCTGTGGTCTCTGAGATTGGGGTCGGCTTACCCTGTAGCACAGACAGGGACTCCTGCTGCCCTGGGAGCTATCTCAAGCAAAATCTCTTGTCCCAGGGGCGCCCATGTGGGTCCGCTGTGTCCCCTGTCATCATCCTTGTTTTTTCTCATTTTGGCCAAGGGCAGGCTCCCTGGGACAGGCAGGGAACAACTGCAGATATATTAGTGATTCATAGGTTTGTACAGTGTTTTATACTTTGCAAAGCACTTTATTAGCTCACACCTGTCCACTCACATGAAACTCGTGTAGGCCCTGGGAGGCCGAAGGTAACTCTCACCATGTGCTCAGATGAAGCACAAAGAGGTTGTTACTTGCCCGGGCCATCCAGTGGGCTGGCTGTGTCTTATGTCCCCATCTGTGGACCCCTCTAGGGTCTGAGATGAGATGAGAAGTGTCTCCTGTATCCACCTCTTCCTGGCCTCCCTTCCCCCACTTCCTGGTCCCTGTCCACTCCTCAGGTTGGTGCTCTCACTTCTTGAAAGCTCTAGGCACCCCCGCCTCCCGCCAGGCTCCCTGTTGGCTCCTGGCAGGCCAGCTGAGAATGAGCAGGAGATGGAGGCAGGCAGCCCAGGCTGCAGAGGTGAGGGATATGGGGCCAGGCCCAGAGGCCTCAGCCTAGAGGCTTCCAATCTCAGATTCTCCTGCCTGTGGTCATCTGTTTGTCCATCACCCCAGGACAGGGCAGACGGAGGGGCAAAGCACTGGGGGCCCCAGAGCCTAGCTTCCCCTCAGCCTGGGGGACATCACAGCATTTCAGTGTCAGTCACATTTTAAACTGATCAGCCTTTGTATAATGTTTTTTAAATCATTTATAAATAAAACAGAAATACAGAGTGTGTCATTTCCCTGGGATGAGGGAACAAAGATCAGGTTCCAAAAGTAATCTTAAGCTCCGGGAGGAGAACCGGGGTCCTCTGGGGTGTCTGGGAGCTGCCTCACGCATCTGGTCTGCTGCCAGATGCGTCCTGAGGATCCAGGATGGGGAGCAGCCCCCCTCAGGAGTATGGGGAGGGTCACTGTGGCAAGGGCTTCTCCAAAGTCAAGGCCCCTGGTGCCATGACCGGAGACACACAGTCAAGAGCACGGCTATCAGCAATTAAGATATTAATAAAAGGCAGACGAAGTCAGGAGGTGAGCAGCTTTACGGGCTTATCAGGAGGCCTGCCCTGCCTCTGGAAGCCAGCGACAGAGAGGGATGCCCCCGACCCAGCCAGCCGGAGAAAGGGATGGGGTGAACACGAAGGTCTGAGCTGGGTCTGGGTGCAGGCTGGGCTGTAGGCCGCGAAGGCGGCCCGGCCGGGACTTCTTTCCAGTCCCTGGCGACCTCTTCGAATTCTCTGCTATCTCTGGGGAGCCTCGGGTGGAAGGGGGTGTAAGAGACGCAGGGACGTGGGGAGAGGAGACAAGGCAAGCAAGAACCACAGGGGACGGCAGACAGACGGGCGGCATCCTCCGGAAGACGCCGTCAGTACCAGGAAGTGCAGGCGATGAGGAAGCGCACGTCGTCCAGCGGCCCCCACGGGCTGGGCTCGGGCTCGGGATGGGGCTGAGGCCGGGGCTGTTCCGGGCCCTCCGGCGCCGCAGGCTGGGGCTGGGGCTGGGGCTGGGGCTGCGCAGGCTCCGGGGCGCCGCGGCCGCCGCTTAGCTGAGCCCCCATGGTCTGCAAGAAAAGCCCTTTAGGTCTGGGTCGCCGGCACCCCCCGCTAGGGCCTCGCCCCAGCCCTGCCCTCACCTCGCACAGCCACACCCGCTGGTCTTCCGGAACCCACCTCAGCGTCGGGAGGAGCTGGCGCCGTGACGCCACCGCGCGCCGACCTCGCCCTCAGTGCGTTTGAGCGCAAAAGAGGGACTCGACCCCGGGCTCCGGGGCGGGACTCCGCGAACGTCCCCGGCCAATCCCGCCCTAGCGCCTCTAGGCCCCGCCCCGCGCAGGCGGACGGACTGCGCCCCAGAAGCCTCCAAGGCGCCCAGGCCGGGAGGACGCTGGGAACCCGCTGCCCCGCCCCAGGCCCACCCAGGCAAGGACCTGCAACCTCCATCCACTTTAGTCAAAGACTGCCCTGAAGCCAGATGCCCCAGAGCTCTTACGGGGCCCTCACCTGGCTCAGGGGAAAATCGGAACAGACTTTCAAGGCCAGAGAAGATGGGGCAGAAGTCGGGTGAAAATTGAGAACTAGATCGGGCACGGTGGCTCATGCATGTAATCCCAACAGTTTGGGAGGCCGAGGCGGTGGGTCACTTTGAGCTCAGGAGTATCAGACCAGCCTGGGCAACATAGTGAGACTTCGTTTCTACAAAAAAACAAAAACAAAACAAAACAAACAAAAAACCAAAAACAAAAAACAAGGCGGGAGGATCGCTTGAGCCATCATTGCATCACAACACTCCTGCCTGAATGACAGGCAGAGAATGCCTCAAAAAGAAAAAAGGAGGCCGGGCGCGGTGGCTCAAGCCTGTAATCCCAGCACTTTGGGAGGCCGAGACGGGCGGATCACGAGGTCAGGAGATCGAGACCATCCTGGCTAACACGGTGAAACCCCGTCTCTACTAAAAAATACAAAAAACTAGCCGGGCGAGGTGGCGGGCGCCTGTAGTCCCAGCTACTCGGGAGGCTGAGGCAGGAGAATGGCGGGAACCCGGGAGGCGGAGCTTGCAGTGAGCCGAGATCTGGTCACTGCGCTCCAGCCTGGGCGACAGAGCAAGACTCCGTCTCAAAAAAAAAAAAGAAAAAAGGAGAACTGTAGTGGACAGAGTTTCTTGCCCCAGGATGAAGCCTCCCATCCTGATGATGGTGGAGAAGGGAATGGTGTGTGTGGAGGTAGTGAACTAGATTGGGTGTGCGTTGTGTCCATCCCACCCTATCTTCCCAGAATGCTGGAACAACTGGAGAGTGCGGGGACTGTACACAGGCTGAGGGCCCCAAACATCACATTCAGAATGGCCCGGAGGGAACTGCACTTTAATGGGGTGGCACAGGACAGCAGAACCCTCAGCCAGCAGCCACAGGGCCTGCCAGCCAGCACAACAGAGCAGGTTTCTGCAGTAATGATAGATCCAGGAGATAAGCACAGGTGGAAAAGGGTTGGGTGCCCAGCCACTCAGTCCCAGTGAGCTCTCTGCCACCTCCCTGCCAGCATCCGGTGCAGATTGGGCGGAGTGCAAAGAAGGTGCCATAGTCCAGAGCCAGGAGCCCATGGAACAACTTGGAAGGTGACTCAGGTGAGGCTGAAGAGAAAGGAAAGCTCACGGTCAGTAGCTGTTTCACAGAACCCACCTCACTCTCAAGGTAACTGCCTCAGCCCTCACCCCCAGACCAGCTCTGAAAAGCTGCTCAAGCAGCTACTGGTCTAGTATCCTAGCCCTGAAAAGCCACAAAGACGAGGATTAGCAGTTGCTCAATAAATATGTTTTGAATATCATGGTGAATTGAAAAAAAAATGTGATGGCTCTATCTACTCAGCAGTGTGCAGATATGCTCTCACACTTGAGAAGCTATCAGAACAAACTGGTAGGCTCACATTCTAGATGACATCTTTTCCCCATACTCTCAAAATGCAAGTTAACCCCCAACACTGAGCAGAAGGAAGGAGAGACCCCAGGTACCTATCAATGAGGGAATCCCGCATGCTGGTGGCAATGGTGCTAGGCTGGGCTTCATTCAGCTTGAAGACACTCTCCACCACTGACAGCTCTGTGCTGGTTGTGTCCAGGCCACAGAAGGCACACCAGTCATTCACCACCATCCCAGCAGCAATCACCTCACTGCCTCGGTTCACAGTCCCCGCCTGCCAAGGGATGGGCTCAATGTGAGTCACGGCACCAAAGTCTCTCCCTCCTCAATGAGGACTCTCCCCAAACCCTGCTCCTCCCTGACCTGCAGCCCCAGTCTCAAACTGCAGCAGGTAATGACCCAGACTCCCAAACACTGGGCGAAAGGATCTGCCTCAGCAGGAGGCGGGGTTCAGAGGACAGGAATGCTTACCACAAGGGGGACCTGAAGAAGAGAGGACAGCTCATCCTGGTCTTCGATTGAAGTCTTGGGATGCACCAGCCCTCCCTGATTGCTGAAGACACAGTAACTTCCTACTAGCACCTGGTCGGCCACTGTCTGTCTGAAGACTTCCACCTTGAGCACATCTGCCAGAATTTCTTCTGTCTCCTATCAGTCAAAGGTATTGTGTTTAGGGCCCACTTACAGCCCCAGCACCCGGGCCTTGGCTCCCTGAGCCCCTTATTTCTCCTATGTACCTCATATGAAAGCCTCACCCAGAGAAAGGAGGAAGTACAGCTTAGAGCAGAGTCAAAGCCAGCTGTGAAGCCCCTAAAATTCATGCATGCCCTGAACAGCTGGAGGCTGGTCTCGATGTCACTGTTTTCCCCTCTCACCCACACTCAAAAGTTCAACAGTCGATCACCTATCCTGGCCCAGGCTGCAGGACTGAATGGTTCAATCCTGAAGGATTCATACCCTCCCCAGCTTCTTTCTGACACTTGGTAAGGCCTCTGTTATCACTATTCCAATGAATACCTGAAACTCAAGGGCCCATACAGAAAAACCACAGGAGAGACCCCTAATTCTTGCCTGTTAGGAAAGAACAGTGGCTAACCACTGACAGGGATGGCCCTGTGACTCTTGGGGCAAGTTGGGCTGCCTCACCCTGTCCAAGTCTGGGTGGACCAAGGCCACGTAGTCATTGCAGGTGGTGACATTGCCCAAGGCTGAGAGCCGCTCCTCCACCCGCCGAATTTGCACTGTGTCTGGGAGGCTGTTGCGAATATGTTGCAGCTCCTGGTCAGTGGTATTGTTGGGCACCAGGAGACCGTGCCTGTTCCCTGGAGAAACCCAAATTAGAGGGTGAGACAAAGGTGAACCATGAATACACAAGATGCCTGCTGAGCCCTAGCGGCTGAGGATACCACCCAGCCCAGCCCAATCAGCTTTCCCAGGAAAGCTTTAGGCCCAGAGCCCAGCCCTCCAACCCACTGATCTGGACAACACCCAGGGCAGGCCAGAGACCACCCAGGAATCTCAATAAATCCCGCCTACTTCACCATCATCAACTGGAGGGGAGTTGAACTAACAGGAAGAGCTCCTGGCATTACTTGTATATTTTGCTACTTAAAAACTGAGCTAATGCTACACACATAGCAGAATGGCTAGATTATTATTATTTTTTTGAGACAGTCTCACTCTGTCACCCAGGCTGGATACAGTGGTGCGATCTCGGCTCACCGCAACTTCCGCCTCCTGGGTTCAGGTGATTCTCTTGCTTCAGCCTCCTGAATAGTTGGAATTACAAGTGCATGCCACCACACCTGGCTAATTTTTTGTGTTTTTGTAGAGACGAGGTTTCACTATGGCTGGTCTCAAACTCCTACCCTCAGGTGATCCGCCCACCTCGACCTCCCAAAGTGCTAGGATTACAGATGTGAGCCACCGCCCCCAACCAGAATGACTAAAATTTTTACAAGTCATCAATTCCAAGTGTTGGCAAAGATATATGGAGCAACTGAACTCTCATACTGAGACAGGAGTGTAAGTTGGTCAACCACTTCAGATAATTATCTGGCATCACCTGCAACTACTACTAGTCACATAACCTGTGACTCTGCCATGCCACTCTTAGGTATAATATACCCAGTAGAAATATGTAGATGCGTTCACTAAAAAAACATAGCAGCACTTTTTTTTTTTTTTTTTTGAGATGGAATCTCGCTCTGCACCCAGGCTGGAGTGCAGTGGCACGATCTTGGCTCACTGCAAGTTCTGCCTCCCAGGTTCACGTCATTCTCCTGCCTCAGCCTCCTGAGTAGCTAGGACTACAGGCACCCGCCACCACACCCGGCTAATTTTTTTGTATTTTTAGTAGAGACAGGGTTTCACTGTGTTAGCCAGGATGGTCTCAATCTCCTGACCTCATGATCCGCTGGCCTTGGCCTCCCAAAGTGTTGGGATTACAGGCGTGAGCCACCGCGCCCGGCCATTAGCACTATTCCTAATAGACCAAAGTGAAAACTGCCCAAATGCACTGTCAATGGAATGGATGAATACGCTGTGATATACTTACACAAAACACACCACACAGCAACAAGAATGAACAATCTACAAATACACACCAATGAATTTCTGAATTTCAGGTCACTCCCATCATAAAATACACAAGGACTAAGCTAAAATCTCCCTTGTTGTCAGAACTTGCTTCAAGTCCTAAGGGCATGGTTAGAGATCAGAGTACTTTAACTGAATAGGAAAATACTTTGAGGTCACTAGGCTTAAATTTTTTTGTTTTTTTGTTTTTTTTTTTTTTTTTGAGACAGAGTTTCGCTCGTATTGCCCAGGCTGAAATGCAATGGCACAATCTCGGCTCACCACAACCTGCACCTCCCAAGTTCAAGCAATTCTCCCGCCTCAGCCTCCCAAGTAGCTAGGATTACAGGTATGCACCACCACACCCAGCTATTTTTTGTATTTTTAGTAGAGATGGGGTTTCTCCATGTTGGTCAGGTTGGTCTCAAACTGCTGACCTCAGGTGATCCACCTGCCTCGGCCTCCCAAACGGCCTTAAGATTTTAAAAAATTAAAGTAAAAGTAAAAAAAAAAAATAAACAGACTTCTAAAAGTGACCTCAATGAGCAGAATTAAGAAACAACAGGCAGCAGTAATGGAAGACAGATCCAGCTTAAAGAAAGGACCAGCTGGGCGCGGTGGCGCATGCCTGTAATCCCAGCACTTTGGGAGGCCAAGGTGGGAGGATCACCTGAGGTCAGGAGTTCAAGATCAGCCTGGCCAACATGGTGAAACTCTATCTCTACTAAAAACACAAAAAAATTAGCCAGGTGTGGTGGGGTGCGCCTGTAATCCCAGTTACTTAGGAGGCTGAGGCAGGAGAATCACTTGAACGGAGTGTTGCAGTGAGCCAAGATCGTGCCATTGCACTCCAGCCCGGGCAACAAGAGTGAAAACCCCGTCTCAAAAAAATAATAATAAAAAGAGAGGACCAACGACCAGAATTAACAGTGCTGACAGGTAGGAAGGTAGGGTAGAGATGTGGTAAAGGGAATTTAAGATTTCAACAAAACTGAGCAGGATGACCGCAAATCTTAGCTAATCTTTAGAGAGACAGAAATGAATGCTTACAAAGAGAAAGCACCTTGCTCACAGTCAGTGACAGGGAGAGATGAGATACAAATCCTCGGCTGGGTACAGTGGCTCTCGCCTGTAATCCCTACACTTTAAGAGACCAAGGTAAGAAGATCACTTGAGCCCAGGAGGTCAAGGCCAGGCTGGGCAACACAGGGAGGCCGCGTCTCTACTAAAAATCTAAAAAATTAGCCAGGTGTGGCAGCACGTGCCTGTGGCCCTAGCTACTTGGTAGGCTGAGTTGGGAGGATCACTTGAGCCTAGATCTTGCCACTGCACTCCAGCCTGGGTGAAAGAGCAAAAATCTTGTCTCAAAAAAAAAAAAAAAAAAACTGATAAAAATCCTCCTCCACACTAAGAACTAGGTGTGGAATTTAGTGAGTCACTTAGGACAAGTCTCAGCTTCCTCATCAGTCGAGCTAGGCCAGTAATTCCTACCTTTCAGTATCTTTGTGAAGAAGGAATGAGAACAGGAGTGAAAGCACTTTACGTTGTTATTACTATTATCCAGCAGCCTTTGCTAGAAGGTTGCCCCCCATCTCCTGACACTTGGCCTGAGAGATTCTACAGTGCCCAGAGATTAAATAGAGGATACCCTGGGAATCCCTAGGTCACGCCGAGTTCCCTCCGGGGGTGTAATTAATGGTGCTTGGAGACCACTCCCTCCCTTGGCGTCCTCCACCTGCCTTACCCACACACATGCGCCCGATGATGCGGCAGCCGGCGATAGACGCGTGCACCACGGGGATGGTATCGGAGAGCTCGCCCTCGAACACACTGTAGGGACATGGACTCGGTGGTCGCGGGACAGAGGGGCCGGCACCCTCACCCTGCCGGAGCTCTTGACTCCTGCGCACCCTTCCCCGCCACCGCGAGCCCTGGGGCTCCCGCCGCACCTGTAAAAGTTCTCTGAACCTCCAATCGCCACCAGACAGTAGGTGTTGGTGAGCTTGGCAAAGCAGCCGATCTCACAGTTGTTCTCGAAAGACGCTCGGACCGCCATGAGGCCTAGGGGCGGCGGAGCCGGGAGTTCAAGGCCAGCAGATCGTTTCCCAAGTATCCCGGCCTCCGCCCCTCAGGCCCCGCCGCGACCCCGCCCCTCTCGGCCTCCCGGCCCCTCCGCCCTCGGGTCCCGCCCACTGGGCCCCCACCAGACCCTCCGGCCCTGAATCCTCCGGCCCCACCTCTCCCGACCCAGGACCGGAGCTGACCCTCCCAGACTCCCTCACACCAGCTCACCAACTATCCACTAGCTCCGCACGCGACGACTGTACCTTGGACTCCCTAAAAAGGTTTCCGTTTCCACTTCCGCCCAGGGAGACTTCCGGGAGAGCCTGGCACGCCCCGCCAGGCATCCAGCCCCTCTACCTTCGGCCTCCGGGGGACTCTATGGTCGCGAGAAGTCTGGGCGCGACCCCGCCTGGCCCCACCCCCAGCCTGCTCGCGCTCATTCATTCATTATTCATTCAGAAGCTTTTTAGGAGCTGTCCTCGACCTAGACCTCCGGCTGGTCGGATGTGAGGCATGAGGGAGAGGAGGGGCCAGGAGTGTCTCGCAGAAGAAGGGTTGATGATGTAGGTATTGATCGAAATGAAGCCGGAGGAAGGGCAGGTTTGGGGAAAGTGATGAGTCCAGCTATGCCTTGAGGGACAGAAGTCCGTGTCTGGAATCCAGCAGGGGAGTGGAGAGCTGAGGAAAGAGATGAGGGGCTGAAGACTAGAAGAGACTACACATGGAGAGAGTTCCAGGAGGGAGAAGTGCGGCCAGACCGAGGCTGGAGAAGGAGGCGCAGCCAAAGAGGGAAAGGCCGCCAAGCTGCAGGTGCTGGAGAGAGGGGAGGACTGAGGAAGAAGGGGCTCAGGAAAAGGCTGGAAAGGGGTCCAGGGTGGGCAAGGATGTAGATGCTGGTTGGCTTCCACGATGTGCCTCTCGCATGGGCTCTGTCACTCACTCAACAGCCAACTTCTGTCCCCGGGATAGTGATGGGGGCCAAGGGCCCTGCTGCACACTTGGACAGGATGAGCTTGGCCCATGTTTTGTAGAATCTGCAAAAGCCCCAGGTTCTCTCAAAATGTCACAGTGGTAGCTTGGAGCCCCTGGACTCCCCCAATTCCTCCTTAGGCATTCACCCTCCTCCAGGGGGCTCCCCATAATTGGCCTGAATGGTGCCCTTCCCATTCCCCTAACGTGCCCCTCCCATAACTCCTCAAAGTTCAGGATACACCAGGCACTGTGGGTTATAATAAAGTCTGCCTTTATTGATGTGTATCATGTTTACTGTCCCGGGCAAGTGGTGAGTTCAGGAAAATGGCCCACAACCTGTCACAGCCTGTACTTCAAGAGACACTCAGCAAGATGATGACGACGACAATGATGATGATGATGATGATGATGATGATGGTGTGTGTGGGGGGGGGAGCTGTGTATCGACATACTCTGCTCCTCCTCCCTCGTTCACGTCAGATCCACTCAGTCCTCTCTAGGGTGTCTCTTCACCTGATTCCCTCTACCAAAAATTTTTATAACTCTCTCCCTCTGTCCAAAACCTCCCCATCCTTCAAGGCCTGGCTCAAAGACCACCTCCATCTCCTCTAAGAAACTTTTCTGACTACTCCACCTTCTCCATGACTCTCTGCCCTTTGTTTTCTAACACGCTTTGTCACTGGTTAACCTTTAACTTGTTATGGCTCTGACCCCTTCTCCAGCAGCTTGTGCATTTCATCTCTGTCCCCAGGTCTGAGTCGACCCACCTGTCAGCTCTATGGTATGCCCAGCACAGGGCTGGAAACACAACCTAGATTCAAGAATATACTGGTCAGTGTGTGTGTGTGTGTGTGTGTGTGTACACAAGAATCTTGAGCCCAGAGAGTGCGTCTGACCTGAGCTTCTAGACACCTCCCTTCCCCAGTCTGGGACCTGAGCAAGTCCAGAGTCTCGGTGGACAGAGGAGGGGCCTGCCCTTGCCAGTGCACCCCCACGCCAGTCCTTTGGCTAGGACTCAAATCGGCTTCGGAGCTGCTTGAACTTGGACTTGTTGTACTTAGTGATGAGGTCCAGTTTGCTGTGACCCAGGGTCAGCCGTTTCTCATCCCTGACCAGGTCACTGTTACCACCGTTGAGATGGCCACCCTTGGGAGCCCCAGGCTCGGGTGCCTGCCTGGCACCTTGCAACTGATGATACTTGGTGATGAGGTCCAGCTTGCTGTGGCCCAGGGTTAGCCGTTTCTCATCCCCAGACCCCACTCCAGTCGTGCGAGCAGGGCTTGGTATTGGAAGACCATTAGGCCCAGGCCCCTCACCCCGGAATGGGCCGAACTTTGTGATGAGGTCCAGCTGGCTGTGTCCCAGGGTCTGTCGCCGCTCATCTGGACCCTGTCTGGCAGGTCTGACTGAGGAGTTGGTTTCAAGGGGCACTCTGGAGCCCTGGGCCTTGGGGTACTGCACCAGGAGGTCTGATTGGCCATGGCTATGGTTTAGGGACATCCTCCTGTCCTCCAGGGCCCGATCACCAGGTCTGAGGGAACCTGACTCAGGGGCACCACCAGTACCCAGGGCTCGGGACAGAAGATCCAGCTGGCTGTTGGCCTGGCTTGGGGACAACCTCCTGTCCTCTGGGGCCTGCTCGCCAGCCCGAAGGGGGCTTGAGTTGGGGGTAACCCCAGAGTCAGGGTCTCTCACTTCTCGGGCTCTGGGGAAGGGGACAAGGAGATCCAGCTGGCCACGGCTCTGACTTGGAGATGCCTTCTTCTCCTTCTCCTCCACTGTCTCCAGGGCTGTGCCAGGTACCCATCGACCCCGCAGGGGGCTGGGCTCTTGGCTTCCTGGGAGCCCATTCTCTGGGAACCGGGACATAGCTGGGACACCCCAATGGAACTGGAGGAGGGGCCGGGAGCGAGGAAGCAGAGGGGACCCCACTGCCAAGGTCAAGGGGCTGGCACTATTATGGTTGAGGGCAGGGGAGGACTGGGACCACGGGTATGATCCTAGCTTGCCCAGGTTGGCCCTATAGAGCCCAGGAGGGGAGCCATGGTTAGGGTCTGACAGTTGGCGATGCAGGGAGGGCTGGCCATGGGCCTCATGGCGGGCGGGACCCAGAGACGAGGACCCCATGCCCATGTCACTGCAATCACCACCTCCTGGTAGAGCGAGGCAGGAGGAGAGACCCGTAAGTGGTGACCGCTTGATGCTGCTGAGGCTGGTGCTGGAGGGCGGGGACGATGTGGGGCTTGGGATGCCAGGCCTGAAGGCTAGGGCCACGGGGGGAGGACGCAGTGCCCGGGGAGACAGCGGGTCCTCACCGCTGCAGAAGCCTTCCACAGGCCGCGATTCGGCGTACAGGCAGCGGAACTCCCGGTCAAAGTCTTCCACGATGCGGCCCCTGAGCTGCAGCACCATGCTAGTGTGGGCCTGGTTGCAAAGCCAGGTGAAGCTGGGGGCAGAGGGACAGGGGGGTCAGGAGGCAAAGTGCAGGACCCTGGGTGTTGGCAGGAGTCACAGCCAGAGGTGCATACCTGGTCCAGCATGCTGGACCCAAACCCCACCACCACGAGGGCTCACAGCAAGGGGCAGAGCTCTGACTCCAGAGTCTGTGCTTGCCCTAGCCCTGCTTAGTGGGCCTGGGCACATGGCTGCCCTCAGGGCCCTAACTTCCCCATCTGTAAAATGGACTTGTGGGAGGTTCCCTGAAGTCACTCCAGTTCCAATGTGCAATAGTCATTTTCTATGCCAAGGGTATTAAAGTCATCATTCCCCTAGAGTGAGCTCCTCCAGGGCCGACCTGCCCCCAACACCCTCCCCTGAGCCTGGCATGATGCCTGGCACATGGCAGGTGCTCAGTCTGTGTCCGAAGGGATGGACGAGTGGAGGGAAGCTCAGAGCTGCCAGCCAGTGGTGCAGTCCCAGGCCCCCCTCGCCTCCTTGCGCCTGCTCACCTGTAGCTGCCTGCCACCACCTGCTCACAGTCGATGAGGACGAACTTCTCCAGGGCCTGCCCCGTGAAGCGGCGGCCAGCCTTGCTGCAATATGTGTCCCCACACATGCTCCGCACACGCATGTTCTAGGTGTAAGTAGGTTGGGGGTGACCTTGAGAGAGTGAGGCTCAAGACATGTCTCTGCCCCGTGGGGTCTCCAACCCCAGACAGCTAAGGGAACCTACCCCCAACTCCCACTGCCCCCCCAGTGCTGAGTGGCCACCCACTGGCTCCCCCGCCCTCCCTGACTCCCCATCCGCTCCCCTGGTTACTGGCCCTGGTCCTCACTGACCGGCAGGTGCCCCCCATTGAGGTCCATCTTGTAACACATCTCCAGGAAGTGCCTCAGGTGCTCCTGGGCCAGGAGCAGGTACACAGGGACACCACGCCGGCTCGAGGCCTCCATGAGGTCACACAGAAGCTCCATGTCAGTGAATATGTCCATCACCACAGCCACTACCTGGGCAGGGGGAGGTGCATGAAAGCTCAGCGCTGCCCAGGGCACTCCCCACATCCAGCCAAGCCTGGGGCAGGAACCCGGGCCCCGGGAAAAGAGCACTGGACTGAAAATCAGGAGGCCAGAGCCTTCAAGAGAAAGTGAACAGGAAGGGCTCTTAGGAGTGACCTAGCCCAGGGCTTCTTAACTTGGGCACAGGGAGATTTGACTGTCTTCTTCTTTTTTTTAAGAGTCAGTGTCTGTCTCACTCTGTCGCCCAGGCTGGAGTGCAGTGGCATGATCATAGCTCTCTTCTGCCTAGAACTCCCAGGCTCAAGCAATCCTCCCAACTCAGCCTCCCAAGTAGCTGGTATTATAGGCATGTGCCACTATGCCTGGCTAATTTTTTTTTTTTTTTTTTTTGAGACAGCATCTCACTGTGTTGTCCAGGCTTGAGTGCAGTGGTGCAATCTTGGCTCACTGCAACCTCTGCCTTCTGGGTTCAAGTAATTCTCATGCCTTAGCCTCTCAAGTAGCTGGAATTTCAGGCACTTGCCACCATGCCCAGCTAATTTTCTGTATTTTTAGTAGAGACGGGGTTTCACCATGTTGGCCAGGCTGGCCTCGAACTCCTGACCTCAGGTGATCTGCCCGCCTCAGCCTCCCAAAGTGCTGTAATTACAGGCATGAGCCACTGTGCCTGTCCCTGGATAATTTTTTTTTTTCCTTTGAGACGGAGTCTCGCACTGTCACCTGTGCAGTGGCACGATCTCGGCTCCTGGGTTCAAGTGATTCTCCTGCCTCAGCCTTCCAAGTAGCTGGGATTACAGGTGCCTGCCACCATGCCCAGCTAATTTTTTGTATTTTTAGTAGAGACGGGTTTTCATGATGTTGGCCAGGCTGATCTCAAACTCCTGACCTTGTGATCCGCCCGCCTCGGCCTCCCAAAGTGCTGGAATTACAGGCATGAGCCACCGCACCTGGCCGCTAATTTTTTTTTTATTCTAATTTTTTGTAGAGATGTGGGTCTCACTATGTTGCCCAAGCTAGTCTTGAACTCCTGGCCTCAAGCAGTCCTCCCACCTCAGCCTCCCAAAGCACTGAGATTACAGTAAAATCCCAGCCCAGATTTGACTGTCTTGAACCCCTAGCTGTTTGAAAGCATTTGTGTGCATCTTTAGGTTCACCGAGTGTTTATCTGTCTTCAGATTCTCAAAGATGACTGTGGATCGACTGTGCTAGTCCAACACCCCCTCTGCACTGAGCCCCAGATGGGACAGCAGTGACAAGCAGAACCCAGGCCCCAATTCCCAGGCAAGTTCCTTCCACTCCCCCCACTAACTCCAGCCCAGCTCTGCCCCAGGGACTGTCTGTCTGAGGCTCCCTTCTCCAGGGTCAGAGCTACAAGCCACTTACTGGGGTCTTCACTGCCCTTTCCCAGCCCTGCCTCAGTTTCCCTGTGAAGCCACAGAGATCTGGTGTGACCCCTTACACTGCAGACTCCCTTATTTGCACCCATGCCAAATGGATCCAAGTTTTCCGCTCAGTTGAGGACTGGGCTGGGGCTTGTGCCTCCATCCCATACAAAGGGCTGCCTCTAAAAGGCCCCTGAAACCCTCCTGGCACCTCCCAGCCCCCAGCTGGCCTTTCTTCCCATGGCATATATCTGCTATGAGAATCTCTTCTCCCAGGCAGGGCCGAGAGGCAGGAGTTACAGAGCATAGCACTCCAGCTCTGGGGTCAGAAAGAACTGGGTTCAAACCTGGACTCTACCACTTCCTGGTGACACAGCTTTGGGTGAGTAGCTTCACCTCTGGAAACCTCAACTTCCTCAGCTGTTAAATGGAGATAATGATAGCCATGTCTCAGAGCTACGGGGAATTAAATGTGAAAATGCTCAAGACATAACAGAGCTCTATAAACATTGGGCTGCAGGGCAACGCAGCATTTCCCAAGGTCACTAGGAGTCATGACAGCCCAGTACGCAAGCCTGGCTCCTGGCCCAGGACAGAGGGGTCTAAATGGGGGCTGAGAAAGTGAGGCACTGGGGGATGCCCTAGTTCACAGCACAGGCCTGGCCAGAGTAGGGGAACAAGGACAGGCAGGAAAGATCAAAGAGGCAGGGGTGAGGATGACGACAGCAGCAGCCTCACTAATAACCCCATTCCCGATGCCAATCAGTCGTGGCCGTCCCCTGCCTGGGGCACAGGCAGGCTTGCCAGGAAGCTCTGGAAGTACCGGTGGGATCCCAGTATCCTGGCTTCCCATCTCTGCAGCAGGAACCTAACTCTACCTCAAACACAGCCAGGGGTCATCTTGTCCATTCCCCTAGAGAAGGAGGCCAGGGCTTCAGAAGTGAAGCTGTGCTTGTGTGTGGCCAGAGCCTTTCTGGGTGCTGACCACCCCCACCTGCCCTCCCAATTCTCTTTCTCCTGAGGTCCTGCTCCCCATCACTGAGCCCAGCATCCTTCTCTCCTCTTTCCTCCTTGGTTCCAAAGCCTAGCCCTCGAGGACATGCCAAAGAGGCCCACATGCCGGCCCCCTCCCCTGCTTCAGGCCCAGCTGCAGATGTGGTGCAGGAGGGTGGGGGGCAACTGGGGACCTGAGCCAGCAAGGAAGGCTGGACTGCTCCCCAGGACCTAAGTCAGAGAGCCCCTGTCTCCCCGAGCCCTGAACTCTATGTCACCATACGGACCTCCCTGGGCAAGTCCCAAGCCCCTCTCTGGCCTCAGTTTCTTCTTCTGTAAGTTAAGGAAGTGACTCGGATGTTCCCCAAGGTTGGAGTTCTTAGTGTGGGGATCATAAAACTTTCTGAGAAACTGATAAGGCAGTGGAGCATCTTCCAAGGTAAAGATGCAGCGAGGACTCCTCCCTCCAACCTGCACCACTTGGTGTGCATTTCAGAAGGTTGTGGAGTCCCCGATGCCCATGCCCTGTTCTAGGCTCATCCATACTATTCCTAGGGACCAAGCATTGCCAAGGTAAATATGGGATGCCCCCCTTTTAGGAGTTTGCGATCTAATAGTGCCAGAGGTGCTGGTCCTCATTCTGCCCCTAAGTCACTGCGTCGCCTTGGCTGGTCCCTTCCCTCTCTGGGCCTCAGTTTCCTCCTCTGTGAGCTGAGCGATGGAGAGATGAGGCCCTTACCGTGCGGGCCTGGCTGAAGAGGAAGCGCAGCAAGTCCTTGATGTTCTTGGCCTTGTCCCTCTGGAAGTGGACCACGGCCTGGGTGGGGCTGAAGCCCGTGGCCTGTGGCACCTCGGGCCAGCCCAGGTCCAGGTCCGGGGGGTCTATGTCAGAGGCCATGGGGAAGTAAGTGCCTGAGGTGACTTCGGAGAGCAGACTGAGGCGGTCTGGCCCCGAGGCCTCCTGCCCCTGGGCCTCGCTGAGGTCAGGGCCCCCGCGCACATGGCTGGTCATGTAGTCCACATCCAGGGCGCTCAGGAAGGGCAGCTCCCGCTCCTCGGAGATGACCCGCAGGTAGGCAGCCTCACCCCGCTCCAGGAGGGCGTCGGCCGCCAGCCGGGCCGCCTCGCTGTGCCGCAGCACCAGCGGTGAGCTCTCCCGCCACCACGGCCGCTTCAGCTCCTCCACCCGGCCCCGCAGGGGTCCCGCCATGCCCTGGGCTCCCAGGCTCCCAGGCCCTGGGCTTCCGAACATGCCTGCCCAGCGGCTGCCTCACCCGTCAGCAGGGCCCATGGCCCGCACGCTGGGCTGGCTGCAGCAGGAAGAGGAGACCGGCAGAACCACCTCCTGCCCGCCCGCTCGCTGTGTGTGTGGCGGGCCCCCAAACTGTTGCCACCCTAAATCAGAGCCACGCTCCGCCCTATTGCCCCTGGCCTCTGGAACCTGTCAGGCCAGCCCCACCTGTCTGCCTGTGTTGGGACTCGCCTGCCCAGGGAAGCGGCAATGCCAGGCTCTCGGTGCACACTCCTGCCTCCCTCTATTCCTCCCCAGCAACGCAGCCCCATCCCTACCAGGCTCTGAGCAAGTCTCCAAATGCTGACTTCCTGGGACCCACAGAGGTTGAATTATAGCCAAGAGGGGCCCAGGCGGCTCAGGAACACACATGCACACACACACACACTGCAGGTGGGTGAGCCACTCAAGACACCCAGGAAAAGACATGAACACACACGCAGACGGACACACTGACAACTGACGGATACACAGATATGGAGTGTGGGCTGACACAGGCCGACCACACACTTTAATCACATCGACTTGCATAAACTCACCCAAACGCCGATTTACAGACTGGCCATGGCCCCCCACAACACATACCATAGTGGATAGCACATGCCTTGGCTCAAGTCTGCAAGGCCCTAAATGAGAGCTGAACAAGCATCACATGGAATATCCAAGGACATCAATGCCTGTCTGTTCCCCAGCCAGTCCTCTTTTTGCTCCCATAATCGTCCTGCCACTCTCCACCATCTTAACTGTGGTGCTCACAGCCCCCTGGCTCTCTCCCATCCCCACTCAGAGCTGTCATTCAAGAACCTAAGGCAGTGGCTCTCACCCTGACCCCAGGGGTGGTGAGAGGTGATGAAATGCAGACCCCCGGGCCCCACCCTCCTGGAGATTCTCATCCACAAGGTGTCCATAGGCTTCTGGAGATTGTCTTTTTTCTTTTTTCTTTTTCTTTTTGAGATAGGGTCTTGCTCTGTCACCCAGGCTGGAGTGCAGTGGCGCAATCACAGCTCACTACAGCTGTGCCTCAGTTTCTCTGGGCTCAAGTGATCTTCCCACCTCAGCCTCCTGAGTAGCTGGGATTACAGGTGCATGTTACCATGCTCAGCTAATTTTTGAATTTTTTAAAGAGATGGGATCTCACTATGTTGTCCAGGCTGATCTTGAACTCCTGGCCTCAAGCAATCTTCCTGTCTCAGCCTCCCAAAGTGCTGGGATTATAGGTGTAAGCCACCACACCTGGCCATTTTTCTTTTTCAATTGAGACGTGATCTTGCTCTGTCACCCAGGCTAGAGAGAGCAGTGGTGTGATCATAGCTTACTGTAACCTTGAATTCCTGGGTCTTTTAACAAGTGCCCAGTGCACTGTGGGCAGTGGGCTAAGGCCCACCCCTCAGACATGCTGTCCCAGATGGCTGTGCTTGCAACACCCTTAACTCCAGGGATGTTCTTGGCCTGGTGGTGGCCAGACCCCAGCCTTCCTCCCCTCCTCCAGGGCTGAGTATGAAAATGGTTGAAAGTTTGTTTCAGAGAATGGGTGAACACACTGCAAGGTCAGTAGGCAAACAGGGCAGGCAGATTTCTGACCTCTGCCCCAGCAAATACTGAAGTCCCGGAGCATGCACTGTGTGTCCTTCGGAGGACGCTGAGCAGCTTTGCTCTGGGGAACGGGGTGAGCAGGTGGCAGCTGCAGGTGGGGAGCCAGGCTAGGCAGAAGCAGTCACCACCTTTCCACAGAGGCATGAGGTCCAGCGAGGACGGCGGGAAGTGCAGAAGAGCTAAAGCCGTGTCTCGCAGCCCTGTTTAGCACTGAGCGCACTTGGTTCGTCTGGTCTGCGATCGTGTCCGGAACACAGGGTCTTCTGTGTCCAAAGAACTTGACACACGTATAGTGGGAGGGAGCTGGGTGGGATTTAGAGGTTCCGAGTTGAACTGAGCCCTAGGACCAAAGATGAATGGGGCTAGGGCTGTGTCTTCGAGGACCCTATAAGTGAAGGAACTGGGGGAGCATGGGGGAGCCACAGGTCAGGAGTTATGACCCACACTATCCCATCCCAGGTGCAGGAGCACCGGGCACTCCAAGGAGGCCCTTCCCAGGGGGTGAGGAGGCTGCAAGAGGGGCAGAAGGTTGAGTAAACAAAGCCAGACCGTGGGAGGGTAATGAGTTGTGGGGGTATCTGAGGTGGCAGGGCCATCATTAGGGCCTTATCTCCAGGCCCTTGTTTGAAGGGGAGGATCAACCAGGGTCTTATCTGGGTGGGAGAAGTGCTCCCGGGAGGGAGGGAGGCAAGTTTGCATGTCACTGAGTTAGTTGTGTTTATCCTTCAGTGTTTATACATACACTTCAGGTACATATCTTTGGCTCTGTATCTTTTAATTGTGGTAAAATACACATAACATTTGCCTTTAAAAAAGAATTCATGGCTGGACGCGGTGGCTCATGCCTATAATCCCAGCAGTTTGGGAGGCCGAGGTGGGCGGATCAGCTGAAGTTGGGAGTTCAAGACCAGCCTAACCAACATGGTGAAACCCCATCTCTAATAAAAATACAAAAATTAGGTGGGTGTGGTGGCAGGCGCCCATAATCCCAGCTACTTGGGAGGCTGAGGCAGGAGAATCGCTTGAACCCAGGAGGCACAGGTAGAGGTGAGCCAAGATTACGCCACTGCACTCCAGCCTCAAGTGATGCTCTTGCCTCTGCCTCCCAAAGTGTTGAGATTACAGGTGTGAGCCACTGCACGAAGCCAAAATCTGCTATTGTAACCATTTTTAAGTGGTACACTTCAAGTGTCATAAGTCCATTCACACTATGGTGTAACCCTCGCCACCATCCATCTCTAGAACTCTTTTCACTTTGCAAAACTAGAGCTCTGTACCCACTAAACATGAACTCCCCATTTCTCCCTCCCTTACCCCCCGGCACCCACTATTCTGTTTCCTGTCTCTATGAATTTGACTCCTCTAGATACCTCATTTAAGTGGAATCATACGGTTTTGTCCTTTTGTGACTGGCTCATTTCACGTAGCTTCACATCTTCAAGTTCCTCCACGTTGTAGTGTATGTCGGAATCTCCTTCCACTTCAGGCTGAATAATATCCCATTGCATGTGTGGAGCACATTTAGCTCATCCGTTCCTCCTCAGATGGATGCCTGAGTTGCTTCCACCTTTCGGCTGTTGTTAATAAGGCACAGGTGTACAAATTTGGCTCTGTATTTTTGTATACTTCCCCCCAGGCCCAGGTTTGTACTAAATTCCTTTTTTGTACATAAGAAACCACCGAGGCCGGGCGCGGTGTCTCAAGCCTGTAATCCCAGCACTTTGGGAGGCTGAGACGGGCGGATCACGAGGTCAGGAGATTGAGACCATCCTGGCTAACACAATGAAACCCCGTCTCCACTAAAAATACAAAAAAAATTAGCCGGGCGTGGTGGCGGCGCCTGTAGTCCCAGCTACTCGGGAGGCTGAGGCAGGAGAATGGCGTGAACCCGGGAGGCGGAGCTTGCAGTGAGCCGAGATCGCGCCACTGTACTTCAGCCTGGGCGACAGAGCGAGACTCCGCCTCAAAAAAAAAAAAAAAAAAAAAAAAAAGAAACCACCGAATATTGGCAATTTCATATGGTTTGACTAAATATATACACCTGTACCTGTGCATAACTGTACCTGTGCTTGTATGTGTGTGCACATCCTGTCTGTGATGTTTGTGTGCCTGCGTGGCGCAGCAGTGTGCATGGACCTGTGTGTGCACGTGTGTCTGGGCGGCGGGATAGTCCTTGTGTCGGACTCTGCGTTGCGGTACTGGGGCTGTGGACAGAGAGCACAACGGAGAGGGGCAGGGGTGGGAAGACTTGGTTGAAGGGCAAAGGGTTCCAGTGGATCCCAGACATCATGATAATGCTTGCGTGCAAATCAAATCAAATCCCCCAGGGCTGAGGGACCAGCTGCCCCTCCCTAGGCAGCCCTCCCTGTGAGCTGAGTTGGTCAAGGGCAATGGGAGGGCAGACAGGTGGCTCCTGGCCTTGGGGCTGGGCCTAGAGGTGGTGGCCAAGGGTGATGGGAATCATCCAGACAGACCCAAGCCCTGTCCCTGGCTGCAGTGTGTCAGGCGCAGGCCCCTTAATGACTGTAATTAAGAGGAAGGAAACTGTTTTCCTGTACAGAAGGTGTGTCAGGCGCCTGCCTGGCATCACTCAGCTGTCCCAGGAGCCACTTAGCCTTGTCTGTTGTCTCTCACAAGCCAAGTGGTGTCTGGGCAGGCGATGTCGTGTGGGGTAGGGGGAGCAGAGGCTGGGTTGCAGCCCTCCAGGTGCAGGCTGCTCTGAGGCCAGTGCTGCCACATACCTTTCCTCTGGCGCCCCGGGTCAGGAGAGACAGAGTTTCCGCAGAGGAGCAGCTGGGACTGGTAAGGGAGCCAGAGTGCACCCAAATCCCTTGAATCAAGGCAAAGCAACCTAAGAGCCAGAGATGCAAAAGCGGACAATGCTGAGGAGTCCCCGAGGCTGGCTTGAGCCAGGGAGCAAAGGGTGAGAAAGATTTCAGGGTGCAGAGTGGTAAGTGGGGCGTTCCTGGCTGGAGGAAGAGGGCAAGGACATGCCCAGGGAAGGCAGGTGGGGGCCGTGGTACAGGGGAAGATGCTAATAGGAAGGTTAGAGCCACACTAGGAAGAGCTTGAGGGCCTTCTAAGGTGCTGGGTTCTTACCTAGAGATGATGGTACAGAGGCTGGGAAGACTCCAGAGCACATCCTGGGATAACTGAGAAACAGCTCCAATGGCGAGAGTGGGCCAAAGCACCAGAAACAACCCGCATTGGTTGAACCCAGTGTGGTTCACTGTTCACTGAGTGCGACACAGGTCTCAGGAGGTCACCATTCCGAACTCTTATCTCATCCTGATACCCCATGGGCTATTGTGCCCCTGGACTGAGTCAGACCCCGGAGAGGAACACAGGCTCTGCCACTTAATGGGGGAGCCGAACAATCAGAACTTCTCTGAGTCACAGTGGCTGACTCTACACGTAGAGCGGGACCCACGCCACCTCCTTCACAGGGTTATTGTGAGGAATATATGGGCTCAGCTACGCCAAGTG